TTCATTTGCAAATTCTCTTTGTCCTGCCTCTTCAGAGCAAATCTCTGCTGTTAGTTATACAACTCAGATGATGGAGTGAAAAGTAGAAGCCTCTTCCCATTCACTCCTTTCAGAAATTTACTCCTTTGCCCTCTCTGCCAATTTTTGCATTCTAATAGAGAAACCACAAAAACAAAATCTTCTAAGGCCCAAAGAGATGGGAAGTCAGAGATGAGAATTCATAATGGTAATAATTGTGTTGTCATTAGTGCCTTGAATAGATTTCCACTATAGCAACCCCATGGAGCAGAGCAGAACTACTTCACAGGTTTTCTTTTCCGTTTTTTCCTGGCTATATTTATTATAGGAACAGATCACCAGGTCTTTCTTCCTCAGAAGGGTCAGTTTGAAACCACTGAGCTTTTGCTTAGCAGGCAAGCACTGAACCTTTGTGTCACTAGGACTTCTCATAATAGAAAATAATACTGGTAAATATTCTGAGGCTTGGCTGAAAAGAAATTAGACTTCAGGGAGGTAGGTAGGCAAGCTAATAACACTTGGTTTTTTTTTTTTTGGTCATTCACTCAGCGACTGCCCTGAAGGGTTGGAAGGTTAAGAAATCAGTTCCTGTTTCTCTGGTTCTGGCCGACCCCAGAATCAACTCCCTTGATTAGAAATAAACAGGATCTTCCTTTTTGTCCCCAGGAATGTGATAGAGGAAGGGCTCTAAGGGAGAGGGCCTTTTCTGGCAAAGAATAATAATAACAACAGTGACAGTAGGAATAAAATATTGTCTTCTTCAGCAAGGGCGATAAGAAACTGCCCAATTCTGTGTGTTGAAATTCTGGCTCTGTGCATATTACCAGTTGTCCAATCAATTACAATTCATGCTTGCCATAGGATTTTCAATGGATGATTATTTTTGGAAGAAGATTGCCAGCCTTTTCTTCTGAGTTGCCTTCTGGTGGACTAACTCCTCCAAATTTGAACTTGCAGTCAACTGCATTGACCATTTTCATCATCCAGCTAGGCCTCTGTCCCTGTTAGAATCCCAGAATTCAGAGGCCTAGGATTTCTAGCCCAGGTCCAATGTGAACGATTTGTTATATAGGCTTCATGAACCCTATCACTTGTATAACTTAGGTCACATGACTTGATTTTGTGTTCAGAAAATTTTGCTCTTTTCCCTTCCCAAGACAGCCTGGTTACCTGGTGGAGCCTTTTATCTTTGCTGTTCTTATTTAATTCTCCCGTTTGTCAGAAAGGCGATGAGGAAGTCAAAGGTCTCTTCAAGCTGGACTGTGGGATCAGGGTAAAGGAGTGCCAATCGTCCTTGCTCCAGAGGTACAGAAAATTCTCTTCTTCTTTCTCCGTTTTTTTCTTTGATTCTGAAGACTAATTTCTAAGAACTGAGAATGATGCATAGATAGACACTCAAGCTTAACAGGTGTGCAAAGAGTGGGAGAAAACCCCACATCCAAAACTACGTATCAAACTGAAAAGAGTAAGGAGAGAGAACTCTAGTCTATATCTGGTGGAGTCCTCTCCACACTACTCAGCAAACCTCTATCCCGCTCAAGAACTTGCAGTAGATCCCATTGTCATCATCTTACATTGCAAAGCCCACCTCACTCAGAGTTGTGCTTCTATTTTTTGTGAATACCCTTTATTACCAATCTCTCACCCCTCCTTAGCCAACTGGCTTTCCTAACGTGTTCCCTGAGTACATACAGGAGCAGGTTGGAAGGTATTCCAAACAAAACTAACAGCTGGGGTTCAGCTAAGCAGTCCTGTGTGGAGTGCAGGGCCTAAGTTAAAAGTGGGAGACGTGGGAAAGGAGTCTGGAGTAAGAATTGGGGGAATACATATTATTAGTTGGCGGGGAGCCTCGGAAAGATTTCACGAAAGGTCAAAGCGGACATTTAGAATGATCACCCTGGGGCATGTGGTAGAGGAACAGCAATGAGGGGATCTGGAAAGGATCTCTGCCCACTTTGGGGTCACTAGTGGAGGGTTCCTGTGGAAGTCTCTGCATGGAAGACAGCCCTGTGTGGAGGCAGGGGAATGGAAGACATGACCCTGAAAAGAAAGAAAGAAAAATATATGACCCTGCACACTTTCCACCTGTGGAATACAATCTCCAACTCCAACATTATCTTTGAATAAATTTGGACCTGCTTCCACATGTCCTCTACTGCTGGCAAAGCCGGTCTAGGGAGGTTGAGGTGAAAGGTGAAAGGAGAGGGCAGTGTCATGACTATAAGAGGTCTGAGCTTACTTCCTCCTGTTCAGGCAGGAAAGGCAGACAAAAGTGGACAATGCACCAAAGAGGGCGGGGCTAGCAGACAAAGGATGGAGATGCAGGAGGAGTTGGTCAGCAGGGCAGTAGGCCTTGAAGGGTCTCTTTGATCCTTCTTATCTCTGGAGGGCAAGCTTGCTTTTTTGGCCTACAGGGCCTTTTGTTACAGTATTTCCTAGAATCCCCTCAAAGTAAACATAGCCAAGTTTGTGTTCTTAAGCTCCACTTTGCTCTGTTGCTCTTCCAGGCAGAGAAAGGAGCAGGCAGGCCAACACTCAGAGGTTAACACTGCTCCTCAGAACGCTGACTGTGAGAGGTCACCTGACAATGCATGAAGAGCAGGGCTGTTTGAGAGACAGTGATAGCTACAAAATGCTTAATTCTAATCACGCTTATCAACCAGCAGCCACTGCACAACCAGGGACTCCTAAGCAGTGGTGTCACTAGGGTAGGGTAGGCAGGGCATGAAGACCATCTCCAGTGACACTGTTAGAGGGGTGACACCAAAATGGTTGTCTATAAAGTTTGTGTGCAGTATTAGCAGAACTTTCTTATCTTTTATTTAAAAATTCCAGTAGTTAGTTATAAGACAAAAACATTTTTTGGTAAGCACAGTTTACATGTATCAACATATCCACAAGGCTAAAACTCTGTGAATTTTGAACTTTGTAATGCAATATGGGCAGGGCTTTCATTATTACTTATTTACAAAGATGCAATGATGCTATAGATCAAGTGTTTAGTCTGCATGTCACACACACACACACACACACACACACACACACACACGGTTGTTTTCCCTGATGGCAGTGTTTTCACAGTTGTTGATTTTGTTAAAACCTCTAGTGAGCTTTGGCTATAACATTGTGGTAAGTAGTATTTGTTAACCTATATCAATATCATTTGAAGTAGTAATTAAAGGAGAGACAATTTAAACAAAGGTTCCTTCTCAGTTATTAATAATATTTTAATTTAATATAGAAAGTTTACAAAAAAATTTATTAGTATTCATATAATATGAGAAATACTACATTAAGCAATTTACAATGATCTTTATCACATACTACCACTATTTAATGATAAAAATTGAGAATAAACACTATTAAGGTATCCCTGTGGTCTGGTATGGGAGGAGGCCTTTGGAGGGGGTGACCCCAACTCCAGTGACCCCAACTCCATTACTATTTTGGGTGCTTCTTAGACATAGGGGACAATGAAAACAGAAGCCTGCGAACACTCTTGGAGACAGAGGTGGAGATGTCACAATTATCAATAGGTTCACAGAATTAAAAAACTGCAATTGTGAGTCTAGCCGGTCTGATTCAGTTTCCCTATCTCTATTTAAAGGGTCTCTATACTCATCTGGAGGAAGAGGGCAGCCTGGAAAGGCATTAGCTGCAACAGGCGGTCAGGGATAGCAGGAGAGGGCTGCAAAAGGGTTGTGGGAAAACAGAACTGGGAGATGATGCAATTTTTCCATGAACTTTTTGAAACCTCCTCATATGACAATGAACTGGGATCTGGTAGTCAAACTCACTGCCATCGAGTCAATCCCAACTCATAGTGATCTATACGGGGCAGAGCTGAACTGCTCCGTTCAGTTTCTCTTTTCTTAATCATTTTATTGGGAGCTCTTACAGATATTATAACAATCCGTAATTCCATTAGATCAAGCATAATTGTGCAATTGCTGCCACCATCAGTTTCAAAACATTTTCTTTCATTTTGAACTCTTTGATATTAGTTCCCCTTCCCTCCCTCTGCCACCCTACCCCCACAGGAACCCTTATTATTATATTATATCATATTATATTAATTATATTATATTATGTTATATATTATTATTATTATGCTGTATCTTGCACCATCCAGTGCATCCGTTCACGTACAATTCCGTGATCCGTTCCCTGGGTTTCTTGACACGAGCAGAACGCCTCACCTTTGCCCCACGGAGCTGCGAGTGTGTCCCAACGGCCGGCCGTAGCTTTGTATATATTGAGGGGAGAGGCCAAGAGGCAGGAAGGGTCAGGGCGATCCCTCCAGAGGGAGAGAGGCAGAGTCTTGAGTTTCCTGAGTCACCTGCCCACTGGGCCCAATTTCATTCAGCCAGCAAAGGCCACTTTCCATCTGCAGAGAGGGAAAACGTGGGATTTTTTTTTAACCTCCTTGTTAATTTTGAGTCCCACATATACCTTGTCCTCGTGAGAAGGGACAACCAAAGAGAAATCTAAAGCTTTGTAACATCATCCAATTCGCTTACCCCAGCCCACTGCCATGGAGTAGATTCCCATTCAGAGTGGCCTGAATGTCTTTCTGTCTTGGAGCTGCTGTGGGTTTAGAACTGCTGGCCTGGCGGCTAGCAGTCCAAAGAGTCAAGGGCTCCACTCCACTAGGGCTCTCCCATCCCCCCGCAGGTTTAATATTTTTAGCTCCTGGGGATCTATGGAGAGGGTGGGGGTGTCATTAACAGGTAGTTCTGTAAAAGGAAATTCAACTCTCACAATACCCTTCCACGTAGACCCCCATTCCACTAGCAGTCCTTTTAACCGTCTGACTTCCCCGAGCCCATAAGGTCGGGGGTGGGGACTTTGGCCCAAGAGGCCCCTCCTCTTTGCAGTTAGTTGACCAGGGTTATGCAATATGAATTGCGAAAAACAGGAAAGACCCAGCTCTCTAAATCCCCCAAACCAACGGCTCTGGTGGAATGACCCCTCCCCGCCCCAAGTGAGGCCCTGACCGCTAATTAGATAAAGCTTTGGGGGCGGGGGTGGCGGCGCGTTTCTTTCTTCCGTATTCCTCTTGGGAGATTAAGCCCTGGGACCCCCAGGGCGATCGGGACGGCCCTTGCTACCTGCCAGGGCCCTTGGCCCAGCCCACCTGTTGCAGAGCGCAGGGTGGGCGTTTCGGAAGTTCACGGGCGCAAGAGCCCGCGGGCGCAGCTCCAGCTGCAGGGAGAGTCCGGCACCCCTCGTGCTTCCGCCGGGTCAGCTGACCGCCCAGTGCGGAACCCAGCGCTCAGCCCGCACCCAGCGTCGCCGCGGCCACCCCGCGCCCAGTCAGCCATGGCGGGACTCGTGGTCAGTGGAACACAAGTAAGTCCACAGGAGGGATCCCTACTCCTGCTGAGGCCAGTCTGTGTGAGGTGGGACCGCTAGGGCCAGGGGCACCCGGAGAGACTGTGAGGGTCCCCTGCTCATTCCTCAGGCGGCTGTGTTTGTAGGTGTCGGGTCTGCCAGGTACCCACGCCCCCCTGTGAAGCCTCTGATCATTGCCGGCGGCGGGATAGACTCAAGCACTCTGCCTGTGACAAGGTGCCTTTCTCTGAAAACCCAGGTCTCTAACTTCTCTGTTTTCTGCTTAAGTCAGCCCTCCACACTCCCATCCCTCCCTGCACCCTGGATAAATTGTTTTGAGTTTTTTAAAGCAAGTCCTTCAAATTGCTTAAGGCAGGTAGTGTCAGGCACTATTAGATTTGAGACCACATTGGGCCAAAGGGAATGTTTCCCTTTTTTCCCCAGGTCTTGAGTTTTTCCAACTCCTACAGATGCAATGAGGGCAGAACGGGTTTCCATCAGGATGACCCATGCCTGCTTATCAACGCCTGTGTGTTACGCCTGAACTTGTACCTCTTCTGCATTCATACAATTTTGTTGTGTGCCTGCTATATAACTTCGGCCATGCCAGGTGCTTTTGAAAGTTAACCTGTCCATTGTCTTCCTGCACCCTGTATTTGGAGTTCTATGAGCCACAGTTGTTACGTGTCGGGCTGCGATCTGTGTGGTTGGCAGTTCAAAACCATCAGCAGCAGCATGGGAGCAAGACTGGGTTTTGGACTTAATCCTGCAAACAGTCACAGTCTTGGAAACCCACAGGGGGTCGGTCTCAGTCAGCGTTGACTTGGCAGTGAGTGTGGCTGGAGAGTTTTGATTGGGATGTTGACGCTGACCCTGGGCGCAAAGCCTGTGAGGAGAGAGCAGAGAACGGCTAGAGTTCAGAAATAATTAGATCAGGAAGGTACCCGCCTATAGAAGAGGTGATAATTAGGTCTTGTTAGCCAGCAGGAGAACAGGAGGTGGGGGTTCTGTAAGTTAGGCTGCTCACAGGAAGGGGCTTGCTATGGATTGAATTATGTTTCCCCAACATACGTGTTGGAATCTCTATCCACGTAGGTCTACGGATGTCATCAATTCTATTTGGCAATTCTTTATCATGTTAATAAGGTCATATCAGTAGAAGGTATGTCCTAAATCTAATTGCTTCTAAGTGATACAGAGAACAATGTAGATGAAGGTGCAAGCCTGGGAACGCCAAGGATGATTAACACTGGAAGCAGAAATCAACGGAGACCTCTCCCTAGAGCCAAACCTTGAATGTGGACTTCTAGCCTTCTGAACTGTCCAGAGAATAAATTTCTCTTCTCTAAAGTCACCCATGTGTGGTGTTTCTGTTACAACCACTCTAGGAAACAAAGACAAGGCTGAGAAAGAGGGCCTCTGCTCTCTTACATTATCTGCCCCAGGAGAACCTCTGTTTTCTCAGACCCATCAGTCTCTGAGTTTAGGTTATTCCAGGCTCATGAAGAAGTTGACAGCGAGACTGAGGGCTATCCTTTACCTCCATTCCTTGTTCTCTTCCTCTATACCAAACTTACTTGCAGCCCTACTGTGTGCTCTTGGGCTGTTTGGGGTAGACTATCTCTGAAGTGTATGAGGCATTTGGACTCTTGGGAACTGTTTTAAGCAGATGACATTTCCAGGAAAGGAGCTGAGAAGGCAGGTTAGGAAAAGGCCCCTGGTGTATTAGAATTCCATATCCTTAACGACCTAGGTCAGTGGTCTGGGTACCCGGCCGGTCCTGGGATTAGATTACTTATTAGTATTCTGCCCCATGTGGTTTGTGACAACTGTCCCTTCCAAGAGGGAGGTCCTCGACTGTGTAAATCTTTCTTCAAGGAAAAGCAGAACAAAGCATTCCCATGAGCCCACAGGGTATATACTATCTTTTTTTTAATTACAGTATTACCATATATACTCGAGTATAAGTTGAGTTTTCCAGCACATTTTTAATGCGGTCTTTGTGGTAAAATTATGTGC